TAAAACCAAGATAAATAAATGTGGAAGGAAGGAGGGTTCCTCTTCTAAGAAGCTTAAACTTCATTCTGTAGACATGAGGAACCAAGGGCTTCAAACTAGGGAGCAATAGAATGAGATCCAAGTTTTAGAAAGAATATTTTTTCCAAGTCTGAAAGTGGGATTAGTAGACTTTCTGGGAGACCAGTCAAGAAATTTTTTGCAAAATTCAGCCGAAATGCAATTCAGACCTAAACTAAGGTGGTAGTAATGAGAACCATGGGACTGTAGACACATAAACAGTTGAGCTGATATCTAATGGGGAGGGGGTTTTAGCCCAATTGCATTTTACTGTAAATATTTATGGCAAGGGCAAGAGAGACTCTAAGAGGATACAAGCCCTTGGAAGAGAGTGGACAGAATTTAGGAAATAAGGAAATACGAGTAGGCTTGGAGGGAAGAATCATTCCTCTGGGCTACTTTGAGTGGAAGGAAGGCTGTGCTATGTCTGTCGGGAAGCATACAGGAACTCCTACCTTCCTTTCTGATAACCCAGACTGTCTGATTAAAACTGCAGATCTCACTGAAGCTGGCATGGCTCAGTGGCTCAGAGCATCAACCCATGAACCAGGAAGTCATGGTTTGATTCCAGGTCAGGGCACTTTGCCAGGGTTGTGGGCTCAATCCCCTGTGTGGAGCATGCAGGAGGCAGCCAATCAGATTCTCTCTCATCATTGATGTTTCTATTCTTCTCTCTGAAATCAATAAAAACAAACACCTGCAGGTCTCTGCAAGGGAGGTTAAATCCAAAAAGCAGGGAAACACAATTGTTCCCTTTACCTGACTCTGTAAGTGCCAAAGCAGCAGGAGCGGAGCAGCCTGGGTCAGCAGAGGACAGCACCTCAGGAGCACTTTGCAGCAACAGTCATAATGGATATGCATAGCTACATCAAGTAGCTCATGCCAATGGGGAGGAACATGACTTCTGACAGGTTCCAATTAGGGCTGTAAGTGGCCTTAGGGCCCTGAGATGAGGTTGGAGAGGAAGGCAAGGGCCAGATCTACAGGACCTTAAGGGGCACTGTAGGAAGAGTAGATGTTATTTGTGGTATAACGGGAAGTCACTGTAAGTTTCTGAGAAGGAATGTGAACTTTCTCACGTGATGTGTTATGACTATTCCAGCTGCTGTGTGGAGAATGGATTGGGAAAGATTAAGGGTGGATCAGAAAGCTACTGCAGCAAGAAATAGTGTAAATTAAACTAGCAAGCTTACATTGGAGATGCAAACACATGGGTTCAAGAGTCTTTTGGAGTTCAAATCTACAGGTCTTTTGCCAATTAAGCAGAGAAGGAGCAGGATGGGATGGGGGTAAGGAGATCAAAAGTTGGAGATGGACCTGGTAAGTTGGAGATGACAGTGAGGTATCCAGGTCAGACAAGCAGTTGGATATGCAAGTCAATATCTTGGCTAGGGCTATATTTGCCGGGTTTCTTATTTCTCCCTTGAGCCCAACAAACTAAATTGAGGCAAGGATGGAATTAGCATTCACTGAACACTCTTATATGCCACGGACCGAGTACATTACAGTTGCTCCTGTCATAAAGTTTATACACATTTTCTGTTACCTGTTTTTTCCATGCCTTCCCAGGCATCCTCACTGGGACTCAACTAGAAGCACCGGGGATACACTCATTGTAGACAATCAGACCACAAAATCAATTCCTCCCTCCCGGGTTGCTGTGCCTAGATCTGTGTTCAAGAGACCTGAAGATAAAGGATAGAGAAAAAAGAAAGAAAAAATTAAAGGAAAGGGGAAAAAAAGACTAGAGAAAAGTTTGTAGGACATGGAATCTAGGACTCTAAACCCAAATGACAGTTATGACTCCACCCTTGTTTTGCTGAGTCTTTGGGCACAACATGCTTTGTTTCTTTGTCTTAACGTTAGTATCCACCTGTTTCATCAAAATGCTGAGAATCTGAGATGAGACTGAATGATCTAGAGCAGTGGTCAGCAAACTGCGGCTGGAGAGCCACATGCAGCTCTTTGGCCCCTTGAGTTTTTAGCAAAGGCCAGCTTAGGAGTACCCTAATTAAGTTAATAACAGTGTACCTACCAATATAGATTAAGTTTTTAAAATTTGGCTCTCAAAAGAAATTTCAATCATTGTACTGTTGATATTTGGCTCTGTTGACTAATGACTTTGACAACCACTGATCTAGAGCATTTTTAAATAACGCATATTCTTGAGCCATACCATCAGAGATTCTAGTTCTGTTGGCCTGGGGTAGCTCAGGCATCTGTACTGCAGGTGCTTCTGACACTGGTCCAGGGTGGGGGCTGAACTGGGAACACTGATTTGTAGAATGGTGAGTTACCAGTTTTCACTAAATAACTGCCTCAATGATATCCTTGCCACTTAGACCACTATGGCAGTTCTAAAATTAGGCATCAAATTCTTTGACACTCCTTTTATTGAGAGATGGGTTCTGTGTCCCCTGCCCTTGAATCTACCAGTTGTCAGAACGCTCTCTCTCCAGATGCTCCCTCTCAGAAGCTGGCCACCACGATGTGAGAAACCCAAACCACATGGAGAGGCCACAGCATCATCCCAGCTGAGCTCAGCTTTAAATTGTCCCAGTGCTGACACCAGGCATGTAGGTGACAGAGCCTTCAGCTCTCAGCCATGGGGTAATCAGCCATCAAGTCTTCCCAGCTGAGCACCAAACATCACGGAACAGAGACAAATCTATCTTGGCATGCCCTGCTCAAATCCCTGACCCACAAAAACTACTCTTAGAATAAAAGGATTGTTGTTTGATGCCACTTCATTTTGGGGATGTTTTGTCATGCAGTAACTGAAGTGGTTCTGAAAGTATTTTCTCAAGAACAGACTGACAGTTGTCAAGGCTGGGGGAGTGGGGGGAGTTGGAGGCTGAGTGAAAACGGCGAAGGGGTTAAGAAGTACAAATTGGTAGTTTCAGAATAGTCATAGAGATGTAGATTACAGCATAGTAAATATAGCCAATAATATCATGATAACTGTGTGTGGGGCCAGGTGGGTGCTTGAAACATTGGGGGGCCACTCTGTAAAGTACATGATTTTCTAACTACTCTGCTGTACAACTGCAACTAATACAGAATGATAGTGAGTGTAAACTGTAATTGAAACATAAAAAAGAAAAGGAAATTTTTAAAAATCTAATAAAATACAAACACATTGCTTGGAAGGATAAATTCTTTGAAATGAACACACACAGTCAGTGTATCCAACACTGACAAAAAGCATCACTAGATAATAGAACACATAAGTTGTTTCCAGAAAGCTAGAAGCAGAACAATGGCTATACCTGGGAGGTAACATGGCCAAAAGAAAGACACACGCATCAGGACAGTTAGGCCAGAGAGCAAGGTCCAGCTGCATCTACTTCACAATTGTGTCTATAACGCTGGTTCCCAAATCCCTCAACTCTCCCACTACCTGAAAAGTTATTATAAGGTTCTCCCTCCTCCCAACTGGTGGGCGGAGTTATGACATTACTGGCATCTGTCACAGAGACATCTCCAAGACACTGAGCCATCAATCAGCGCCTGCCAAAGTGTCCTGGAGCCCACCCCTTCCTGTTCTGCCCTGGGTCCAACCCTCTCCTGTTCCTCCCCTTAAAAAGACCCCCAGACCAGCCACATGCTGCTGATCCTCCGTGTCCAGGTGGCAGCCCGGCTGGGTCCATCCCCACTCCCAACTCCTTCAATTCTGATTTCTCTACCTCCATAATGAGTCCCGTTCATTACTGGGGAATAAACTTTACTTTAAAACTCCTTGGTCGTCAGTTTCCTGCACCTCAAACCTTACAATTATTTGACTATGCCAGTTTTTTCCCCCCCAAATGTACTTGCTTTAATGTTAAATATTTCCTGGGAATCAGACAATAACAAGCACCACAGGTAATTCTTACTACCAGGTGAGATTTGGGAAATACTGAATGCTAGAATTTTTAAATTAAATACAAAACAAAATAGCAAATGTTCTGACAATCACAGTTGTGGTTAGAATGGGGAAAATGCATGAGCTTCGTGTTTATGAAAACTGAGCAGCAGGTTCTTGCAGCCTTGAAGCCTGAGAATGTAAACCCCAGCAAAATCCAGTTACAATGATGTGGAGGGAGAAGTTGTAAATATTGAAATTCACTTGCTAATCAGACACTACAGTTATATTAAATATCTTACAATGTAATTGGGGGGGGGGGCGGGGGCGGGAATGGTGGCTCAGTTGATTGGAGCTTTGTCCCACACACCAAAAGGTGTCAGGTTTGTCAGGTCAGGGCACATGCCTAGGTTGTGGGTTTGATCCCCAGTTGGGGTGTGTACAGGAGGCAACCATAATGTTTCTCTCTCTCTCTCTCTCTCTCTCTCTCTCTCTCTCTCTCTCTCTCTCTTTCTCTCTCTCTCTCTCTCTTTCTCTCTCTCTCTCTCTTCATGAATTTACCATGCAACTGGTATGACTCCAAGTCCTGCATCTTCAGGATATTTTCATGATACTGGTGTTGATCTGTATCATTGAGCAGTTCATTAAACCCAAAACCCCATTCCCCACAGAGACTGAGAGCAATTTGGGCCGCTTTAAGCCTGTTCAAATATATTTCTTTTGCCTCTTAAAAGCCTTTAGTAGCTATAGGTATGATTTCCAGAATAGAATTGATGTCTATCTCTGACTCTAAGAGTTGTATGTATTGCAATGGATAAAATAAAATGTCTGCTAAATGGTTATTGTATTCATGGATACCAGAGGTCCAAGCAATAAACATGGGAGAACCTCATCACCTATCTATCACTTAGAAGCCTAATATCCTTTCTTAGACCAGTGACTATATATAAAGAACTCAGAGTGTATATTTGGTAGCAGAAAGGAGCCTATGATTTCTACATTAATCTCAGACTTTTTAACTTTCTGGACAAGAGTTAGAGGCTCTGGATGCTCACCACCTCTCTGTATTACTCTGTTTTCTCCTCCTCCCTCCCCCCAGGGACGTCTCTTATACCAGTGTTACTGCCCTGCCTTACAAAGGCCTGGAGCACCTCAAGGAACTGATAGCAAGAAACACTTGGACTCTAAAGAAACTTCCAATGTTCTTAAGTTTCCTCCACCTCACACGGGCTGACCTTTCTTATCCGAGCCACTGCTGTGCTTTTAAGAATCAGAAGAAAATCAGAGGGTAAGTGGCAGGTGTCTGGAATAAAAGGCCTTGGGAAAAGTTGTATTAATTTCTGGGTCCGGGAAAGAAGATTTGTGGTTTGAAAACTATGTGGAAAGAACTGGAAGCGTCCACAAGAAACATGAAATCCATAGGACACAATGACTTAGACTCAACGTGGCTGCAGATGAGAAATAAGGCCAAGGTCAATGGAACACAATAGGGGAGGAGAAGGGACTAAGAGATGACATAGGCGAGAGAGGAATGACCAGATCATGTAGAAATCTTATCAAGATTATACTGCACAGCCTCCAGATGCAACATGCATTAGATGCCACAATTCTGGGGACAAACTTAGCAACACAACCAATTGTGTTACCTGGTCAATTAGGGCTTAGCAAAGGTCAGAGCTTACTGGTTACATATGTGGGCACTTTGGAATTAGCTGGGTTTGTACCCCCTCTCTGCCACTTCCTGTGTTATCTCAACCTATTTACTTAACCTCCCTGAGTCTCTGTGAATGGAGATCATAATGCTATCACTCATAAAGGTTTTGAGAAGATTATATGAGAAACTTAATAGAAAATACCTATCACAATAACCTGGAATATTATAAGCTCTCAATGTGTATTATTTTATGATCAGGCTGCAAAGGAGGGATGGTCTTTTTTCTTTTTTATTGATTTCAGAGAAGAAGGGATAGGGAGAGAAAAATAGAAACATCACTGATGAGAAACAATCATTGATTCTCTGCTTGCTGCACGTCTCCCACTGGGGATTGAGCCCACAACCCAGGCATGTGCCCTGACTGGTAATTGATCCCGTGACATCCTTGTTCATAGATTGATACTAACCACTGAGAAACACCGGTTGGGAAAGGGATGGTCTTTTTCTCTCCATGCTTTCTCTGAATCTTGTCCTCACCTAAACTTTTACTCTGCATTATTTCCTCTTTCATGACTCATGCTATCCATTTTCCTAATATTGCCATCATTTATTAGTATAGTGTGTTCTCTGTCTCTAAATATCTATTGCTTGACCTTCTGAATTCATACTTGCATTGGAAAATAATTTTGGATCTAGTAGTGGGCAGAAGCAAAAGGGAAAGTTGAGCAGCTGTGCAAAGGTCAATGGTGGGCATAACATCTACAGAGAACCAGGGGTGGGGTATGGGGATGCTGATAGTAGGCTCTATACTGATGCCATGTGGTGCACAGTAGGAAAGGACCAGGGATGGGTGGGAGGCTAATGAACTGCATAAGGGCAGGGTCCAGCTTTCCTGTTAACTTCCAAACAGGTTGGAATAGGCAACCAATTCATATTTTAACCCAATAGATGAGTCAGCAGGTTAAACAATCTCTTTTGATGTCAGTCTGATAGGCTAACAATAAACTAAGTCTTACTCCCACGAGCATGCCTGCATGACACTGTCCATTTATTCATTTGTTCAATTAATAGGACAGACAAGAATATTTTATTTACATTCCAGTAGGGGATGTCAGAAAATAAACAAGCAAACAAGTAAGATATTTGATAACACTACTAAGGAAATAAACACAAGAGTAGAAAAATTTATCTAAGATCAGGACAGCCCGGCCATCGTGGCTGAGTGGTTGAGCACTGACCTAGGAACCAGGAGGTCATGGTTCCAAGCTCTCATCATTGATGTTTCTATCTCTCTCCCTCTCCCTTCCTCTCTGAAATCAATAAAAATATTTTAAATAAATAAATACAAATAAAGAGATCGGGGACAAAAGGACGGTTGAGTTTAAAACTGAGTAATGGATAGAAGCAGTCATGAGTTTTTCAGGCAAAGGGAGTATGGTGTTCTAAAGCTCTGAGTAGGAATAATTACAATAACGGACACATATACAGCACCAACCATGTTCCAGGTGCTGTATAAGAGCTTTAAAAAGATATGAAATAGGTAATTTTATGATTCTGTTTTTAAAAATTGATAAACCAAGTTTTATAGACCTGCCCAAGGTGAAACAGCTAGTAAACAGTGAAGCCATGTCCTAACCTAGGCAGACTGGCTCCAGCATCCGTGCTTTTTCTCTCCATACTGGTCTTGAATGGGTTGCAGAAGAGAAATAAGGGCCAGTGATCCTGGAGCATAGTTTTCGAAGGGTAATAGGAAAAGATGTTGGAGAGATGGACCTAACCAGGTCATGTAGAATCTTTGTGCTGCATGTTATAAGGCCCATTAGTGGTTTTCAGTAAGTGCTGACTTATATCTATTGCCTTGCAGAATCCTTGACTCCTTAATGTGTAATGACAGCAGTATTCAGAGCCTGCGGCAGAGAAGGTCTGTGAATGCTTTGAATGGTCCCTTCTACCAGGAATATGAAGAGGATCCAGGTGACCACGGTACTGGGTACAGGGAAAACAAGTTCCAGGATACCCACTCTCATTATTATGTCTTCTTTGAAGAGCAAGAAGATGAGATCATTGGGTTTGGCCAGAAGCTCAAAAACCCACAGGAAGAGACACTACAGGCCTTTGATAACCATTACGACTACGTAGTGTGTGGGGGCAATGAGGACATGGTGTGTACCCCCAAGTCAGATGAGTTCAACCCCTGTGAAGACATAATGGGCTACAAATTCCTGAGAATTGTGGTGTGGTTTGTGAGTCTGCTGGCTCTCTTGGGTAATGTCTTTGTCCTGGTCATCCTCCTCACCAGCCACTACAAACTGACTGTCCCGCGCTTTCTCATGTGCAACTTAGCCTTTGCAGATTTCTGCATGGGGATGTATCTACTCCTCATTGCCTCCGTAGACCTCTACACTCAATCCGAGTACTACAACCACGCCATCGACTGGCAGACAGGCCCGGGCTGCAACACAGCTGGTTTCTTCACCGTCTTTGCTAGTGAGCTGTCCGTGTATACGCTGACGGTCATCACCCTGGAGCGCTGGTACGCCATCACCTTTGCCATGCGCCTGGACCGAAAAATCCGACTCAGGCATGCCTATGCCGTCATGGTTGGGGGCTGGGTTTGCAGCTTCCTGCTGGCCCTGCTCCCTTTGGTGGGAATCAGCAGCTACACCAAAGTTAGCATCTGCCTGCCCATGGACACCGAGACCCCTCTTGCCCTGGCATACATTATCCTTGTTCTGTTGCTCAACATAGTTGCCTTTATCATCGTTTGCTTCTGTTATGTGAAGATCTACATCACCGTCCGTAATCCCCAGTACAACCCAGGGGACAAAGACACCAAAATTGCCAAAAGGATGGCTGTCTTGATCTTCACTGACTTTATGTGCATGGCCCCCATCTCATTTTATGCTCTGTCAGCTCTTATGAACAAGCCTCTTATCACTGTTACCAACTCCAAAATCTTGCTGGTTCTCTTCTATCCACTTAACTCCTGTGCCAATCCATTCCTCTATGCCATTTTCACCAAGACCTTCCAGCGGGACGTATTTATCCTACTCAGTAAGTTTGGCATCTTTAAACGTCAGGCTCAGGCATACCGGGGCCAGAGAGTTTCTCCAAAGAGCAGGACTGATATTCAGGTCCAAAAGATCACCCAGGACACGAGGCAAAGTCTCCCCAACATACAGGAGGACTATGAACTGCTTGAAAAGTCCCATCTAACTGCAAATAAGCAGGGCCAAATCTCAAAAGAGTATAAGCAAACAGTTTTGTAAGCTAACCCTATACTACTCACAGTGGTAAGGAGACTTATAAAAGGCTGGTTTCTTGAACATGAATTCTAACCCCTTGACACACACAAGCCAGCTTACCTAACTATTGTGCAGGTGACATTTCATGGGGCAAGAGTTCATCTCCCAAGAGGAGCTAGCATTACTAGTAAACTAATCATCCCCTCTACCCTACCACAAGAAGAAAGAGAGGCTACCAGTATATCCGAACCTCCAGTGATATCAAAACAATCTATACTTTCTGGAAGGCTTGTTTGATGCTAAATGCAGAGATGACATTGTGTAAGATGCTCCACAAACATCAACTCATCCGTTTCAACACCGAGCTTCCCATTTTTATACAGCATTTCATACTAAAGATTCAACAGATGGCAAAAGGATGAACTTGGTTGACAATCACAATATCAGCCACATGTTGGCTCAGTCCAACTTCATGTTTCCTGAAATAGCCAGAGGGAGTTTGAGTTCCTTGAAAGAGAGAAGTCAAACAGGACAACACACAAGAAATGGCTATTATGAGACATGAAGGAGGGGGAAGACTTAGCTTTGTTTTTTCAGACCCTGAAACTATTAATCATCTCTTCACCAGGACCTACCTGATGTAACGCAACTGTTATGTGTTACCCAGAAAAACTGGCAGGATTTAAGCTTATGTGGCCAGGCAAACTAAGAATTGCTCATCTTGGCTGTTCTCATAGCCTAAAAGATGTGAACTCAATAAATATTTCTAAGTAGCAACAAGTAGGAATTATAAGCAGAGAACACTAAATCGCCCATTGATTTAAAAAGCAGGCTGGATACCAGATTACTGCTGAACCTCAGGCAAATCATTTAGTCTCAGAAGTCTGTAGAAATGAAGGAACTTGATGGCCTCTTCCAGTTTTAAAACTCTATGTACCGTATTTTTCGGACCATAAGACGCACTTTTTTCCCCCAGAAGTGGGGGGGGGAAAGTCCCTGCGTCTTATGGTCCAAATATAGCCTACACATATACTTTAAAAAAAAATTTTTTTTACTTGCCCGGCTCTATGTGGTCTCTGTGTGCTTGCCCGGCTCTAAAATGGTTCTAAATGCTGCTGTTTACTTTACAGGGTTGATTACATGTGTTTATGACTGTGATGTTGGGTTTTAATGCACATAAAATATTTTAGGACACTATTTGTTTCAGAATCTTTTTTTCTTCATTTCCCTTCTCTAAAAACTGGTGCGTCTTATGGTCCGGTGCGTCTTATGGTCTGAAAAATACGGTACATCCCTTCCCCTTAAAACATGTTTCCATGACAAAGAAAAAGAAAAATATAAAAAAGGAGATTCTGTTTTTCCTATCTTTAGGGCTACCATCTTTTCTCTTTGGAGCCTAGACATATAACCCAGAAAATATTTTATTTGTTTCATATTTGGTTATGAAACAAATATGTTTGTTTCATTTTTGGTCTGTAATAATAATTCTATTGAGTCACCATATTGAGGTGGATCCGAGTCATTCATCTAATTACTAGACCTACAGCTATAATTATCAGGCCAAAATAGCTTGCATTCATAAAAATAGAAAAAAAAAAATAGTCTTGAAAATTTTGGTTATTTAGAGATACTATTTCACTGTGCAAATTCACTTGAAAACATTTAAATTGTCTTCAGGGATTGATTTCTTTACTTAGTTGTTTCCAACTCACAATACAATACTAATGCTATCAAGAAAAGTTCCTTCTCCCAGAAAGTACCAGCTCTTTCCAACCTTGTTGATCGCTGAACATGAAACGCTATTCTCCAGCAGTGCTCCCTTACATAAAATAGTCAAGATCTTCATCTATAGATGTACTCTTCAAGTTATCTGTCAACACAACCCCTTAATTTCTTCCCAAGAACAGATGCATTTGGTTCTCGGTGCTCATGAACCACCCATGAATTAAAACCACACCATGAATTAAAAGATTTTGTTGTTTTAAGTTTGTGGAGTAGGGTTTGTGGACCCAATGGGCCCCCAGAAGTGATACACTGATTCACCAGGAATCTCTCCATCGCCCTACCCATTTCTGATCATCCCTGTAAGTTGGATGTCTTAATAGAAATATCATACACACCTAAAATCATGACTTATCCATGAGTTCACTTGTAAGTAGTGAAATTAAACAAATGTGTTACCTTTTGGCGAGTGGTTTCTCACTTGTGACATTTTGAAATATGTTCTGATAAATAATGTGTTCTATCTTGAGTAGTTGAAATGATACTTTGATAACAGTCCTAGAAAAGTTAGCCTCAACAGAATTGTTACTAAAATTTGCATTCACAACATGAAATAAAATTTCTTCCTGAGAAATGACTATGTTGGGTCCTAGAGTATTGATTTTTGTAATTTGTGAACTTCTTTTTAAGATTACCATTATATGTATTAAAACTAAAAACAGGAAGCCCTGGCCAGATGGCTCAGTTGGTTGGAGCATCGTCCCAACAATAAAAGTGGGTTTTCCCGGAAGCCGCCCATTGTCCTCACTAGTAGAATGATTTGGACAGGGAATTGGAAGGCTGGTCAACCTTGAAGCTTTAACCACTCATTGTTTAGTTGAGACTGGTAGCTGAAGCAGCCTCCACCTGTTAGTCTTATGTACATTTTTGTTGTTTGGCTATTATTGGAATTGCCTGCCTAAAGGCTATGAGTGTATTCCATAGTCTTAATAAAAGGATAGCCAGGCCAGAGCGGGGTATAGTCCTCTCTTGGTCTTCTACCTGGACCCTATTTCCCAAATAAATATTTTTCTAATCTCTTCCATTTGTGTGCGGCCTCCTCCAGAACCCAAATCTGGAACCACGTGGGATGTGGAAAGGGGTTTCCACAGGTTTCATTTCCAGTCAGGGCACATACCTAGGTTGTGGGTTTGATCCCTAGCTGGGGCACATATGAGAGGCAATGAATCCATGTTTCTCTCTCACATTGATGTTTCTCTCTCTCTCCCCCTCCTTCCTCTCTCAAAATCATAAAAACATATCTTCAAATGAGGATTAAAAACAAATGAACTCTAGATCAATCCATTCTTGTTCTAGAGACAAACAGTAGGGGATGAGGGTGGTTAGAGAGCAACCAAAGGACTCCTATGCATGCGTATTATAATAGCATAACCAATGGACACAGACACTTGGGTTATGAGGATTTGCCTGGGCTGGGAAGGGATGGGGGGAGGGGGTCAATTGGGGAAAAAGGAGACATAGGTAAAACTTTAGACAATAAAAAAATAATAATAATAATAATAATAATAATATAAAATTAAAATTAAAAAAAACTAAAAACAGGAAAACAATTGCTACATTTACTAATAAATCCATATAAATAAATAAATTATTGAGTATCAATAACTTCCGTATAACATTGTATCATGATTTTAAATGGTCTTATGTGAAACAACTCATAATATATTATGATACTTTGACAGCAGTGATGGCTAAGGGAAAAAATATGATAAGTATTAACCTTAGGAATATAAATAGCACAAAATGAGGATAATAAATCTATAAAAACTTGATGAGAGTACACTTTATCTGGTGACTTTCAACTACTTGAAAATAGACTCAAATCAATGAGGACAAAAGACAAGTTCTTGTTCTAAAAGTTTGTATGTTGTTCAAGAGTATCTTCTCAAAATACTCTCAAAGCTGGCATGGCTCAGTGGTTGAATGTCAACCTATGAACCAGAAAGTCACGGTTCGATACCCCATCAGGACAAATGTAGGGGTTGTGGGCTCAATCCTTAGTATGGAATATGTAGGGGACAGTCAATCAAGGATTCTCTCTCATCATTGATGTTTCTGTCTCTCTCCTTCTCCCTTCCTCTCTGAAATCAATAAAAAATAAAAAATAAAATTTTAAATAAAGAAACTGATCTTTTGAAACCGGGAATGATTGGTATAGATAGAGCTAAGTTCCTGGTCTGAGACAGAGGACAAGGGGCAAGAAATCCAGGCCACTTTTCCATTTCCTGCTTTCACATCACAAAAGGAAGCCCAGGCATTGACACAGAGACATCATCACTGCCCTCTGTCAGAGAAAGGTGTGTTGAGGAAGAAAATATAAAACATCTGTTCACTTTAACCATCCTCAATCTTCATTCATAAATATAAATATACAATTACCAGACATTTGAGAAAAATAAATTACACTTAAAAGTTTCTCAGCAAGGACCATATTAAATAGATGAGGTAAAGGTTTGAGAAAAACAAGACTAGTATAGTGTCATCAGTGTTTTTTGTTTGTTTGTTTTTTGGTTTTGTTTTTTGGTTTTGTTTTTATAGCAAATCCCAGGCTTAAATTTCATTAGATTCCTCCTAAGTTCCCCAGACAGTGGAAAGGCTTCTGGAATGATAGTGGTCAAATTTAGATAATGTCCATCTGGATGCCAATGGCAAGTGATTTGTGGATCTGTGGGAATATGGGACTCCTAGGATTTGTTATTAATAACAAAGAGAACCATTGTACTATCTAGGCCCAGATATTTCTCAAAATTCTCCTTAAGCACTCTGACAGAAGAATGAGGGGAAGTAGTAATAGCTTCAACAAATGTTGGCGAAATGAGATACCCTGACCAACTGATGCCACCATCCAGATGAAAGAGGAGATGGCTGACATCACACCTGTTTTCACCATCTGCAGGCCCATGTGGAGAAGGGGAAAAAGTGAGCACACACCTCTGGCACTCAGAGTTCCTCCCACACATCCAAGTTGCTATTTGATGTCATTTTAATTAGTGCAGCTGAGCCGCTAGTGGGAGCATTACTTAGAGAAATTAGAGTATTTTCTTCTGTTTCTTTAACTCTTTGACCACCCAGCCTACAAGGTACCCGTGAGTTGCCTCCAAACTCAATCACCCTGCAGCCACACTCTGTCTATCATCTGGAAGACCCTCAACTTAAACCAACCATTCCATCCTGTCTTAATCCCAATATCATCTCTAACCATTCATGCTATTCTACCCCTCTCTGAATCCTAAAAATCACATGCCTGTGCCTCTCATGCCACCATTAAAAAGGGGGAAGGGGTCAGTGGCAGTTGATGCTGCATCTAAGATATATTCAGAACCTTTTCAAGAATCACCTTCATAGACTGGCATCAGAAACAGCATCCCACTGAGGCCCAGCTTTCATTCTCTTGTCTGTCTTTTCTCAATCCTTCACCACCCTCATTCAGGTTCATCCAGTGGCACACCAGATAGCTGAAAAGGAAATGCAGAGGCTATTAATTTCATACTTATATGAGTGCCTCTTGGAGCAATGAGTATTGTCCACATATCCAGGGAAGGATTCTTAGCTTTTGATATGTTAATAACAACCACAATAAAATCAATGGTTCAAGGAAAAGTCCAGAAGCATCTAATTCACCTACTTGCTTGAGGATTTTTGTTAAATCTTCACCTGAGGATATGTTTATAGATTTTTAGAGAGAAGAAGGAAAGAGAGAGAGAAAGAGAGAGAGAGAGAGAGAGAGAGAGAGAGAGAGAGAGAGAGAGAAAGAGAGAGAGAGAAAGATCGATTGGTTGCCTCAGGGACCAAACCTGCAACGTAGGTATGTGCTCTGACCAGAAATTGAACCCATGACCTTTCAGTGTACTGTACTATGCGCCAACTGAGCCATACCATCTAGGATTTAGGTTTTATTGAATGAACCTTCTCAAACATGCTAAGGCAATCCTCAGTTTTGTCTTATACAAAGTACTCTTATGTATTAAAAAATGTTCTCATTTAAATGATAATTAATTGAAAAATAAAGCTCAATTTGTCCATTTATTCAAAGACGGAGTTTAGGGAGACACCAACAGGCTGGAAAATCCAATTATCAAATGTTGGTCTTAATTCCACAGAGATGTTTAGAAACTGCTTTTGGAATATCTCAGCTAGAACCCA